GTAAATTTATTAATTATTTAATTAAAATTATCTAAGCGATATTAATATTAAAAATAATTTCTTACTTTTATATTTTTTTATAAAATTTTATTACAAAATTATATAATTAATATACTTTAACATGTGCCCTTAAATAAACTTTTTCTTAAATTGAGTGAGCAAAAAAATAATAATTTAACAAAACAAAAAGTAAGATATTAGTAGTCTTAACAATTTCTCTTACAGTTATAACTGGAACCCACGGTAAATGAAGCTTAAATATTATGAGTTAATATAGAATTTTATGATTAGTTGATTAGTACAAACTGAATTAGTGCAAAGAAATTAATAAGTGTTTGGTTTAGTTAGTATTCATTAATTTAAAATTTTTGATTTAAAAATAAAATCAAAATTTTAAATTTTTATATTGTCAAACAACTAACTTTTTGATATATTAAAAAAAAATTAATATAAAAAGCTTAAACACTTTTGCATCATTTAAAAAAGGTTAAATTGTAATTTTAGTTTTTTAAACAAAAACTACAATTTTTTTTTTTTTTGTTCCTGAACTAATTAAGCACTTTTTCCGTCTTATATGAGCAAAAAAAGAACTATTCCTTGAACTAATTTAAGTAATTTTTTCATCCCTTAATAGTTAATGTAGATTTTTATGATTACTTGACTAGTTCAAAAACTGAATTAGTGCAAGGACTAAAACAGTGCAAAGTTCGAAGTTTATGACCAAATTTGCGCTTAATCTCCAAAAGAAAACAAAAATTAAACGCTTCTGTTTTGCCCTTTTACAAGCCACTCTTGCGCCGAAGGTGTGAATGCTAGACTTCTTCGTTACCTGGAGTCTCCTACAAAATCATTCTACCACTTTAATATATTTTGTATACTATTCCTTGGAGCCGCCAAGTTAAAACAATGACAATAGCTATATAGGAGAGTGTTACACAGGTTGATATACAAACTAATAACAATCTTAAGGCCTTTTTTTTTAACAATGGGGAATTTGGGTATGGGAGAAAAAATTAAAAAAAAAAAAAAAAAACTAATTTACATATGAAGGGTTCTACTGTCTTAGGTGAAGCACTCTCAATATTCCTTTAAAATTTGTTTAATTAACATCCTTCTTAAAGATAGAGCAATTTTAAGAGCTCCTCAAATTTTGAGGGCGTTTGTTACAAAACCGTGTAAAAGCATTTCACATTTCCTTTCTTTACCCCACGCTTACACCATCCCCACCCCCCAGCCATAAACACATGGTAGCCATCTAAGATTGTCCTACAAAAGTCTTGCTTTTTTATTTTAAAGTTTAAACCCCCCCTAGTAACACGCCATGCGGATGATGGACTTGGTCCTCCTCTCCTATCCCTCCTAAAAATACGCTGGATTCTAGAATCACAAACAAGGTCTATCACGTGAAATTTCAGTTTTGTTTGTTACCTTGATCTGATGAGTGTCAAACCAGTTCTGCTTTGAAAGTGTGAATTTATGTAATTGTGCTAGCCTGCTTTCTTTCCTTTTTCTACTACTTAACAAGACTTTGACCAAACTTCTTCGTTCTATTTTTCCCTTAACTAACAAGACCTTGACTATAGTTTCAAAAAAAAAAAAACAAGACCTTGACTATGTACTTTTTTAATGATCATGAGCTAGCTAGTAATATGTTTTCCTGGTGAGGATATTGAGTTGTACAACTGAATTGAAGGCCAAGGGTTTCTCCTTGATGCTTCGTCTAGCCAAAATACAAATGCATAATATTGCTGTAACTCTTTGTTTCCTTGGCTTTGCTTTGCTCACCTTATTTGTTACTACTGGCGCGCCAAATACCATTCGAAGCAGTACAAACTGCACTTCGGAAGGCTGTAACTCCACATCATCTTGCACCGGAGCTGGAGACTGTCAAACCAACGCATCTTGCACTATTGAAGGCAACAAAAAAACTTGTACGACGATAGTTAACGCTACCAGTAGCTCAAGAACTCCTCCGTCTCCTTCTCTATCTCCTCCTACAAATCCTGCAGACCCACCAATCGTTGGGGTTGCTCCACATGTTCAACCTGATCCTTTTCCTCCAACTTCTCAATCTCCTCCTACAAATCATACAGCCCCACCAATCATTGGGGATGCTCCACATGGTCCACCTGATCCCTTTCCTCCAGAGGGAAAGAAGAAGCAGACAGGATTACCAATCCGGATAATTATTGCAATGTTTGCTTTGATGCTTGGCTTAGGCTTCATTCTGTTATTTTTTTCTTGGAGGAAGCAGAACAAAAATGAAGATGTTCTCCCCATTGATGTGTCCTTTGGTGATGAATTTGGGTTGGGACCTAGGGAGTTCTCTTATGATGAATTGTCTAAGGCAACAAAGAATTTTGCAGATGAGGAGAAGCTTGGCCAGGGAGGGTTTGGAGCAGTTTATAAAGGTTTCTTGAGGGATTCAAATACTAATGTTGCTGTTAAAAGAGTTTCAAGGGGGTCCAGACAAGGCATCAAGGAGTATGCATCAGAAATAAAGATTATTAGTCGATTAAGGCATAAGAATTTGGTGAAGCTAGTCGGATGGTGCCACGAAAAGGAACTCTTACTCGCTTATGAGTTCATGCCTAGTGGCAGCCTGGATTCCCATCTCTTCAAAGGAAGAAGCTTGTTACCATGGGAGATTAGATACAAAATCGTGCAAGGCATAGCGTCAGCATTATTGTATCTACACGAAGAAGGAGATTTCTATGTGTTACATAGGGATATAAAAGCAAGCAACATTATGTTAGATTCAGCTTTCAATCCTAAGCTCGGAGATTTTGGGTTAGCTAGGCTGGTTGACCATAAAAAAGAGTCACAAACAACTCTATTGGCTGGAACCATAGGCTACATTGCTCCTGAGTGTCACATAACAGGTAAGACAGGTAAGGAGTCGGATGTTTATAGTTTTGGAGTTGTAGCACTTGAAATTGCATGTGGCAGAAAGTCAATAGAGCCTACATTTGAGGAGCAACAAGCATCACTTGTGGCTTGGGTTTGGGAAGCATATGGGAACCAAACGCTTCTTGGTGTAGCTGACAAGAAACTCTCTTCATATTTTAATGTGAAAGAGATGGAGTGTTTGTTGATTGTTGGGTTATGGTGTGCGCATCCTTGTCGTGGCATGAGACCGTCAATTAGGCAAGCAATCCAAGTGCTTAATTTTGAGGCAGTGCTTCCAAATCTTCGGAGTAAAATGCCTATTCCCAATTACAATTATAATGATAACCCTGGCCCTTCCACCATCAAAATAAGTGAACCCAGTTCAATGAGCATTACCATCCCTCGCTAATTTTCGTGCCAATACTGCTTCAAGTACTTTAGACTATTTCTGATTGTCATTGTTATAAAACTTATTTCCTCACTGTTTACCACAAAATCTTATATTGAGTTGTTTGTTTTGTTCTCTAGTTATGTTAAGAATGGTTACTAGATTCCTCACTGTTTACCACAGAAATATATATTAATTGTTTTTCCTGCATCTTGCTTTCCTTGTAGCGACTGACATGCAACAATTAGTCCCCAGAAACAAGGTTCTCTCCCTAAAACTCCATCTTTTCCCATGGCTATAAGAGATCTTCAATATCAAACCGGAACACTTGTACGTCATCCATAACAAAGACCAACAAAATATAACCACGATATATATGAGGTGACTAATAAAAGTCTAACACATAAACAAAATAATGCCTGGTTGCTATTTTTCATTCCCTCCTTTACTTTTAATTACATGTTAAATTATAATTTTTTGATAAATTATAATTTTATTATAAGTTTGATAACTTTTTTTATAAAATTTTTTTATATTGAAAAATTATATTCAATTTTAATTAATTTAGAGTTAAACTGAGTTAGAGTTTTTAAAGGAAAGTATTTTACAACATTTATCTTTTCATTTATAAGATTTAAATTTGATATCATATTTAAGAAAAATCAAGTTTTTTTCATTCAAATTATCATATCGTTGATTAAGTTGGACAAATTTAAGGATTAAATTATAATTACTCATTTTTTTCGTTTTAGCTCTAGCGTTTCTTTTAATCGTCACAAACAGCTGAAATTAACAACCGTAACGATAGACGCTAAGTGCATGAATACGCCGTTTTAATTGGGAGCTTATAACTTCCCTTTTTTTTTTTTTTCTTTTTCTTCTTTTTGAGTTTAGCTGCTGATGTGCTAAAACATGGTAAGTTCAGGGGCTTGACAATCGATTTTGCCTACCTCCTTTCTTTGCCCTTTCTATGTTCCCTCGTAATATGAAGACGACTGTAGACCATTTTATTTGCTCTGACCACTTTTAATTGGAAGCTAGAACAGTTGACTTCATGGTTGCCTTGAGACTGCAATCATTTTTTTTTTTCCATTTTTTTTAAAAATTTTGAGAAGACCTCGACTAGCTTTTATTGAGCTAGCTACAAATATATTCTTCTGATGAGAATTGAGTTGTACAATTGAATTGAAGGGTGAGGTTTCTCCTAAATACAGATGCGTAAAAGAACAATAGTTAGTGTTTACCTTCTCTTAGATTTGCTCTTTTTCGCTGGCATATTTGTTTTGGTACGTTTTAAAAGTTCTCGTCATGCTTGAACGGAGGGAGCGTTTATGTACTTAAGTGCTCCTTTTTTGGCCTTGATTTTCAGTCTGTGCCTTTGTTTCAGGAAGTGTTGTAGGAAGCCCAAAAAAAATGAACAAGATGTTGTTGCCATTGATGTGTCCTTTGATGTTGTATTAGGGAATGGGTTGGGACCTAGGAAGTTCTCTTACGATTAATTGTCCAAGGCAACAAAGAATTTTGCAGTGAAAGAGAAGCTTGGCGAGGGAGGGTTCGCAGTGGTTTACAAAGGTGTCTTGAGGGATTCCTATACAATTGTTGCAATTAAAAGGGTTTCGAGCATGTCCGAACAATGGATCAAGGGGCATGTATCAGAAATGAAAATTATTAGTCGGTTAAGGCATAAGAATTTGTTGAAGCTTATTGGATGGTGCCATGAAAAGGAACTCTTGCTTGCTTACGAGTTTATGCCTAATGGTAATTACTTAGATTTCCTTCTCTTCAAAGGGAGGAGCTTGTTACCGTGGGAGATTAGGTACAAAATTGCGCAAGGCTTAGCGTCAGCATTGTTGTATGTACACGAAGATGGAGATTTTTGTGTATGACATAGAGATATAAAAACAAGCAACATTATGTTAGATTCAGCTTTCAATGCTAAGCTAGGGGATTTTGGGTTAGCCAAGCTTGTTAACCATGAAAAAGGGTCACAAACAACTTTGTTGGCCGGAACCATTGGCTACATAGCTCCTGAGTGTCATACAACAGGTAAGGCAAGTAAGGAATCGGATGTCTATAGCTATGGAGTTGTGGCACTTGAAATTGCTTGTGGCAGAAAGTCAATAGAGTCTACATGTGACTATGTGAGGAGCAAGAGGCGTCATCAGTGGATTGGGTTTGGGAAGCATGTGAGAACCAAATGCTTCTTGGTGTAATTGACAAGAAACTCTCTGCAGATTTTAATGTGAAAGAGATGGAGTGTTTGTTGCTTGTTGGGTTATGGTGCGTGCATCCTTCCCCAAGTATGAGACCGTCGATCAGGCAAGCAATTAAGGTGCTTAATTTTGAGGCAGTACTACCAAATCTACCAAGCAGGATGTTTGTTCCCAATTATGATATCCCTAACACTTCTGTCATCAGAGCAAACAAAACTGGTTCACTGATTATCAATGTCCCTCGCCAATTTTCATGTAAGACTTGATATAGATTAATTCTGAAAAGAAACAAGCGTGTTTATTGTTTGAGATTACTGGATTCTTGGCATGTCAGTTTGAATTTACTAATGTGGTGCCATACTGCCATGTTTTTGGCTCTAAATTGTCAATTTGTCCAACGAAAATTTTTGTTTATTAGTAAGTTGTGCTGATTTCTGAGTTGCTAACTAGAAAATTAGTGGGATTAGCTAGTATTTTAGACTATTTCTGCCATTTCATTGTTATGAAAATTGAAACAAATTCCTCATTGTTTACAACAAATCTTCTGCATCTCATTTTAGAAAGATGATAATTGAAGTGAGCACAGACTAATCTTCACTTAAAATTTTTACACTATTGTTTTTGCATACAGAGCTTTGAGATTGACATTCATTCTTCAGGAACTGGCCCAATCCAACAGCGAACTCTGTTCTAGGCATAGCATTCCTCCAAGTAGGTGATATGCTTCCCTTCTCCATGTCAAATTCCCACCAACCATCATCTGTGTTAATATAAAAATAGACACAGTTTCTTCTGCATCTTGCCTTGCTTGCAGAGACTGACATGCAACAATTAGTCCCTAGAAACAATGTACTCTCCTCAAGAGTCCTCATCTTCTCCCATGAGAGATTTTCAATATTAAGCCAGAATACTTCTACATCATCCAAAACATTTGTTGTTTTTCTAGATATAAGAAAGACCAACAAAATCCTGCCATCAGATTCGACCAAATATTCAGTGAAATGCTTTGAGAACACACTGGGAACAGCCCTTTTGAAACTGAGAGCTCTGATTCTCAGATTAAAATCACCAACAACAATGATCTCAGCAACTGTCCCTTGCAGACTCAAAGCATAGAACCTTCCTTTGAATCCAATAGCATTAATGAATTGCAGAAATTTCCCACCTCCTGATCTGTTCTGGCAATTGGGATCAGTCAGAGTGCAGTCTTGCTTCACCCATCCTGGCACCTCTCCTTTTCCTCTCAACCTGTAGTACACAAATGCTGGATGACTAGTTCCTGTCAACACCATCACGGTACAATGCCTAGTGGAATAATCTTCACTCAAAGAAGATATTACAATCCGCATAAACGGAACTTTGGGATCCCAATCTGGGAGACGATAATAGCAAATTCCATGAACTGGATGCCAAAGATAGATACAATCTGAAGTTCCCCTAGTCACCAATTCATTGTGTGAGTAGCCAAGGAAATACTTCCAGGGGCCTTGAGATGGCCATCTGCAAGGCGAGTAAGTGTACCCTTGACGAAAAGATATGTTGAATTGGTCAGCTGGTTGAGTTACATCATCATAAGTGCGAGGAACATGAAAGTGATCGTCAGAGAGCTGAAGCCACGGCAGAGCTGCATTTGGATTGCACTGCTTTGCCGCTGCTCTCCATGACTTGGTTACACCTCCATAGCTGATGATGTTCTACATCAGAGTTGAATCCTTTCCGATTATGTCGAGGAGCATTTGAGGAAGCTCAGGCCAGAACATGGCGGCTCTGACTTATTTCTCCAGTGGAACTATCTTCTTGTTCTTTGTTTGTTGAGCCATCTGGTTTCTAGTTGTGAAGATGAAAGAAGGGGGGAAAGTTGAGGGACACAGCAAAAACGTAATTAAAGATTTAAAGGCATCTTCTGGCCGTGGCTTCCAAGTTTTCTTATCTTTATTTTATTCAAATTATTCGTAGTGGAGTTTTATTTGATTTTTTTTTTCTTTGAAAAGAAGTATAATAGATGACATTATCAACTTGGGGAATACGGTTTTACAATCTTTTCCTGTGTTCATTTTTCTATAAGAAAAAGAAGTTAGGACATAGAAAGATTTAAAAAAAAAAGTATATAGCATAAAAAGGTGTGGTTTTCACTTCTTCTTTTTTTTTTTTTCTTTTCACAATAGTATTGATTTTGCATT